TGGAGTGCAATGGCACGTACTCAGCTCAGTGCAACCTCTGCCTCCCAGGTTCAAGCAATTCTCCTGCCTCAGCCTCCTGAGCCGCTGGGATTACAGGCTCCTGCCACTGCACCCAGCTAATTTTTCTATTTTAGTAGAGATGGAGTTTCACCATGTTGGCCAGGCTAGTCTTGAACTCCTGACCTCAGGTGATCTGCCCACCTCAGCCTCTCAAAGTGCTGGGATTCCAAGCCTTTTTGACTTTTCATATAAATGGATTCATACAATCACTTAGCATAATGTTTTTGAGTCCATGTTGTAGCACGTGTCAGTACTTCATTCCTTTTTATGGCTGAGTAATATTCCATTTTATATGATGGGCTGCATGTTGTTTATCCATTCACCAGTTGATGGCCATTTGTGTGCTGTCAATTTTTTTTTTTTTCATAGAGATGGGGTTTTATTGCCTAGGCTGGTCTCAAATGCCTGGCCTCAAGTGATCCTCCCGCCTTGGGACTCCCAAAGCACTGGGATTACAGACATGAGCCACCGCGTCTGGCCTGCCCATCTTTTTACTGGATTTTCTGTCTTCTTTTTGAGTTGTAAGAGTTGCGTAGTGGCTCATGCCTATAATCCCAGCACTTTGGAAGGCCAAGGCGGGTGGATCATGAGGTCAGGAGACCAAGACCATCCTGGCTAACACGGTGAAACCCCATCTCTACTAAAAATACAAAAAATTAGCTGGGCATGGTAGCACACGCCTATAGTCCCAGCTACTCGGGGGACTGAGCCAGGAGAATTGCTTGAACCCAGAAGGCGGAGCTTGCAGTGAGCCGAGATGGTGCCACTGCACTCCAGCCTGTGTGACACTCTCAAAAAAAAAAAAAAAAAAAAAAGAGTTCTTTACATATTCTAGTTACAAGTCCTTTATCTGATATATGCTTCACGAATATTTTCTCCCAGTCTGTGGTCCTTTTCTTAAACATGTAACTTTTGAAGGGTAGGAGTTTCTAATCCTAATGAAGTCCAATTGATCAGCTTCAGCTTTTTCTTTTGTGGATCCTACTTTTGATGTTATGTGTGAGAAATCTTGGCCTAACACAAGCTCATAAAGCTTTTCTCTTGTTTCCTTCTAGAAGCGTTATAGTTTGAGCTAAGTTAAGCACTTAGATTTTATTATCCACTTTGAGTTCATTTTTTTACATGATGCGAAGGGTCAGCATCATTCTTTTGCATGTGAATATCCTGTTGTCCCAACACCACCTGCTGAAGAAACTATCCCTCCCCTCACTGGATTTGCCTCCATCTACAATCAGTTGACCATAAATGTGAAGGTTAGTTTCTGAACTCCCAGTTCTGTTCCATTGATCTATTGATCTATACACCAATACCAAACTGCCTTAAGTCGTATGGCTTTATAGTTTTGAAACTGGGAAGGCAAGCCTTCTAACTTTGTTCTTTTCCAAAATTGTTTTTGACTACTCTGAGTCCTTTGCATTTCCACATAAATTTTAGGATCGGCTCACTGTTTTCTCAAAAAAAAAAAAGTCACCTGGAATTTTCATAGGGATTATGTGGAATATATAATTTGGGAAAAATTACCATCTTTACAATATTGAGTCTTCTAATTCATGAACATGGAATGTCACTCCATTTATTTTTATCTTTTTAACTTTCAGCAATGTTTTATCTTTTTCAGCATACAAGTCTTGCATTCCTTTATTTCTAAACATTTTATTCGTTGGGTGTTAGTGTAAATGGAATTTTCTTAACTTCATTCTTGGGTGTTTTGTTGCTAGCATGTAGACATATAATTGACTTTTATATGTTGATCTTGTATCTTGTGACCTTGTAGGACAGTCTTTTGGTGAGTTAGGAGCTACCTATAGTGCCAACCAAGAGAACCACAGACTGGTCAAGAGCTGGAGTTATATACCCGCCTCCTACCTGTTGCAGGACCTCCCTTTCAGCCCACTCAGCCTCAGCAGTTCCAAGGACAAAGGTCTCTTCACTTCAGGGAGTGCCTAACAATTGAGCAGCCCCACTAGAAAGCTTCCCCAAACCAAAGGACCACTCTGCCCACTGCCCTGGGGCCTGGCAGACAACTCCACTCCCCGTTCTCGAGACAAGGCCACCTCTGCCTGCCCGCTTCAATGAGGCCCCAGAACTGGGGACCAGGCAGCCCTCTCTAGCCTGGTCTGTCACCTGAGCACCACGGTCCCACTGCAGCCTGGCACAGCACTGCTTTCTCAGGGGCCACAGAACACCTTTGTCCCTGTAATGTGTTTTTAGGTCAAAGTGGAGAGGTTTGAGGGATAGGGGTTTTGTAAGTGTTGTATATCTACTAATCCCTGGGACTCTTGGCCGCTCCCGTACAAAGCAGGGAGTGGAGATCAATGGCTGGCCTTCTGGACTTTGGCTGTCCTGGGCTCAGAGCTGCAGTGAGTTCTTCTCTGTCAGTGCACAGCTTCATTTGGAGGACCCTTCAGGCACAGTCCTCAGAGATGGGACCGTTTCCACTGGTGGTATTCAATCAATTTTAGGAGACACGGGGGCCATCTACTCACAGTGAGGAAATTACTCTTTTAAAATATCTTGCTCTCTCTCCAGTTATGACAAAGAAAAAGTCTCTGTTCGTGCTGGTACGTCCTTCGTACCCTCTTTAACCCTTGGTAATCCCCCAGGCCTTGGGGAAATGGCATAATTTCGTTACCTTTTATTTTTCCTTGTGTATTACTTATGGCAAGTAATACTGGCTTTCCATTTACAGTAGTATTATATAAAGCTGCCTTTCAAAATAAAGTTCTCATGGCCCCCCAGCCCTGAAAAAACAATAAAAATAGGAAACAGATTAAATAAAAAGATAATGTAAGTAAAAGCTTTTGAACTGATGAGGAAAAACGGCCACTGCCTCAGAGTAGCCCTGAACAGATGCAGCCGGGGTGCAGGTGATATGGGATGTGTGAGATCGGGGTACACTGGGCAGTGCCCAGGGCAGCAGGGCCCCTGCAGAGGCGGCTTCCTGGTCCACCCCGAGCTTTTCCAGGATCCAGCCACTAGGCCACGGCAGCTCACCCAGTGCTTGCCTCCTGCAGGTGCGGCGGGCTGGGGCTGGTGCTGGCCAGCGCGGGCTTCGGCATGCTGACGGCACCCATCATCGAGCTGCACAACCAGAAAGGCTACTTCCTGCACCACATCATCTTTGCCTGCTGCACGCTCATCTGCATCATCTGCATCCTCCTGCTGCCCGAGAGCAGGGACCAGAACCTGCCTGAGAACATTTCCAACGGGGAGCACTACACGCGCCAGCCGCTGCTGCCGCACAAGAAGGGGGAGCAGCCACTGCTGCTCACCAACGCCGAGCTCAAGGACTACTCGGGCCTCCACGATGCCGCAGCCTCGGGTGACACACTGCCCGAGGGTGCCACGGCCAATGGCATGAAGGCCATGTAGCCTGGCCCGCAGAACCCAGGGCTCAAGGGTTTGGGGCCGCTCGGGCACAGGTTTACAGACCAGGGACCGAATGCATGGCCCGGAGGGGGAAAGCTGCCCCACCCAAGCCGAGCCTCTCAAGGGTGTGGGGAAATCCTGCCTTTCCACAAGTCCAAGGAGCACAGGTCGGAGGAGACGAACTCTTTGGAAATAACCCTTCCAAGACTTTCTTTTCTGCCATTAAATGTTTGTATTTATTTTGGTCATTTTTACGAGAAGCACTTTATTCCCTCCCCCTCACTGATCACAAATGGAATCACCTCTTTCGGCAGCGAGATGCAGTCACTCTGGGAAGATGCTGCAGTGACCATGGTCGCGGCCGGTTCCTCTCGGGAGACGGGACACGGCTCCTCGCAACACCCAGGAGCCCCCCAGGCTGCCTGCCTGTGTGCAGAGGCAGGACACAACCGTGGAGCGTTTCCAGGACTGCATTTTAGACAGAGTGAAATGTACATGAATTTGGCTTTTGCTAGAGAGTCTGTGTATGGTTTTTTAAGGTCCTTTTTCCCTTTCTGTTTGCAAGGTAAGAGCTTCTATTCCGTGTGCAGGGAAAGCAGCTCACAGACGCCATTAAAACCAGCTTCATCTTTCCTTCAGGATCATCCTTTTGTACTTGATGCTGGACGCTCTTGGAGAAAAAGCTTAAATATTTCACCAGAAATCTTAATTGAGCAGCGGTCATATCGCCACAGCTTTGTGAGTACACAGCTAACAGATGCGTCGAGGCCTGAGATGTGCTCGTTTTTATTCCTCCTCTCCCGATTGGCTCCAGCAGAAAAGCCCCCCGTGCACAGCCAGCTCTTGTGCCAGCACTACTTGAAAACATGGCCACTTTCTAAGCTACAAACAATGAGAAAATAACTGGAAAAGATGGCAGAGGCAAATCCACAGAAGGGGGGACTGCCCTCCACACGCGCCCGTCACCCACAGCTCGAGCACACACCAGGAAGATCACCAGCTTGGATGGCCGCCACCTCAGACATCACTGCAGGAAGCACCCGCAGGCGCTGGGCCCCCCCACGCCCGCCTTCCTGGGCCAGCTTCCTGCTTGTAGTCACTCGCTTAGCACAGAGGCGGGGCTTCCGGCAGGGAGCGGAGATTCCTCATAGGTGAGTCCAAATGACCTCCAGCCTCTCGAAGGCATCAAGACAAATTGAAAGAAAGCAATAACTCACCAAAGCTCAACGCTGCCCCTGCCCCGACTTCCAAGGGTTTCTTCATGTTCCTCGTTTCACCCCAGAAGGTAAAGGTTTCCTCTTGGCATTTTCGGAGGAAATTTGTAGGACACCCAAGGCCACTAAGAGACAGCCTCCTTGGCAAGGGCAGGCACCACTTTTGTAGCAACTTGGGCACCAGCTTTTCTGGACAGCCTGGCTTCTTACTGGGATTGTCCAACTCATCCCTTCTTGAAGCGTGTCTTTGCCATGGACTGTGTCCTTCCAGGGAAATCGTGGTCTCGGGCCTAGGTGAGACAATGAAGTGACTTCCAACCGACATTGCTAGAATTCACAGGGCAGAAAAGGGGTTGACCTTCTCCCCTTCCAGCTTTCCACCCGGCCTGCTGTTTGCTGTCTCCGCCCATGTCTCCTCCACATGCGGTCCACACATCAGCAGGAGCCTGGTGATGTGTGAAGACACAGCAAGGGGCAAGCAGACTCATGGCCACGTGTTTCCAGTGGCTGGACCATGCCGACACCTGGGATCTTGAGGTACCCAGGAAGGGAGGCTGTCTGGCCGGCCGCTCCCCACCTCCACTTGCAACACGTCCAGCTCATCCTCATCTTCCCTCTCTTTTAAAGTCACGTTTCCACGTTTCAACATCAGTTTGCATTCACCTTTACACAGGCCTTTCTTTAGACCTGTGCAGCCTTTGCGTGCCAAACTTGTGAAATTCCTTTTACCTTTTTTGGAGTACTTGCTACAAAGCCACCTGTCAACAAACCCCCGTTACGTACAGAATAGGACCTGTCCAGTAGCCAGGCCCGTAGGCAGTTGGGGAAGGTGGGAAGGATCCAGCGAGGCCCCTGAGCCCGCACCTGGACAGGTGTACGTCTGCACCCATCACCCCCAGCACCAGGCCACCCTGCAGTCCAGTCCACTTACTACTGTGTTGCGGAAGGATTTGCTAAGTGATGAAAGTTGCGAGCAGCCTCACGCTGGTCATGTAAACTTTTTTTTTTTTTTTTTTTTTGGGAAATTTTTGCTCTTGTTGTCCAGGCTGCCTGGAGTGCAATGTGGTGGCAAGGGACAGTACTCACACTCTTCTGGTCATGGTCTCTGATCTCCACCTCAAATGACAATAAAAAACCGGTCCAACGAAGACAGTGCTCAGCACTTCAGGCATCAGGACTAATCCATCAGTGACTGGAAACGAGGCTAGCGCTGAGGCCTGGGCTCCTGGGACCAGAGTCCAGCGGGTGTGAGTGAGGCTGACTTGCCGACGGCCAGCAGGGGATGTCTCTCAGCCGGCAAGGCAGTCCCACAGCTGTCCTCCCACGGCAGCCTCAGGAGGAGGCTGGGTGCCTGTTCTGTGGCAGCTTCAGCCCAGGGATATCCAGCTGTCGAGGAACACCTTTATAAAATGTTGCCAGAGCAGCAACACTTCCCGCGGAGCACAGCCCCGGGAAATCTGGTACCAAGTGAGCAAGGCGGCCGGGCCCACCCAAGCCCGCCACGCGCCTGGGCCCGCCTGGCTCTGCAGGGGAGGCTGCTACGGCTGCCCACTTCCCAGCACAGTCTGTGGCGCTTGAACCCCTCAGTCCTGTTCCCTTCCTGGCTAATAGGGAGACCCTTCTCAGGCACCCACTGTTTCAACTTGACCCTCCCACCCCCTGCTCCTCCACACACCCCTGCGTCCTGCTAGCCTACCCTGTCAGCCTTTCAATAAACGTGATGCACAAATGTGGACACCTGAGGTGCAGCTGAACCTTTCTTCACTTTGTTCTTTTCCTGAAGTCAAACTCTTATCAAATACTCTAATTATTACCACCCAAGAGAAACAGGAAAACGGTTTCAATGCTTTTGGTTACTGAGAGTAAGAGCACCTGCATCTGGAAGACGGGCTGGTAAGTTGGTTTGGCTACAGAACAGAAAGAAACAAAAACGAACCTCGTAGGGGAAGTATTGCACTCAGACACCACCACTTCCTAGAGCCAAATGAGCGATCCCGAACTAGAAGTGCCATAAGCGGGCCTGCGACATCATACCGCCCGGCCCCAGGTATCGCATGTCCTCTTGTCTAGAAGGCACCACCTCACTTTCGTGTACCGTGTGTTTTGGAAAATCAGTATGGCGTGTCATGTCTAGTGGCGAACACTTCCCTCCCTCTGTCCTTGAGGTTGTAATATAAAACCCGTGTTTCTGTACGTGTGGGTGGGGCTTCTCTGACGGTGCTCGTTCATAGCACAAGCTTACACTGAGTTCTGAACTCGTTCACAGCTGCGTGTCTGCATGGTGTCGCATCTGTTGTACCTTTGGGGAAAATTTGTATGTAAATGTACAGAAATAAAAATGTTGCCCCATTAACAGATTTCCTCTGGAATGTCTTCCCTACCTCACCTGATGGTATCCGACAAAGGGCATTTCACTACCATTAACGACGAGTAATAAAATCCTCTGTGTTCATTCAGACCTCGCTGCGTCACTACTTTTCATGCCTCTGTAAGCTGTGTCTTCACTCGCCCCGAGGTGGGTGGAGGGAGGCCTCTCACTCTGCTTCGGGTCCTGGTCTTAAAGGTAGTCAGAGGCAGAGGCTGGATGAAACACAAACTGTTTACCAAGTGCCACTCTCAGACCACCTGGGAGATGGGGGCCATCAGTAAAATTAAGAGGAATTTTTTTCCCTTGTTCGTTTATGTTCTGCTGATCCGTGGCCTGAAGGTTCCTAGAGACGTCAAGAAATGAGTATCTTACACTGTGATTCTGTGAGGAAAGACTGGTAACCCAAAACTCTCTTCTCTAATGTAGTATTTTTTAATGAAAATGACAATATTTCTTTAATAAAGTATTTATACCAAACTCTTCTCTCCATAGCCCTGATTTTGTGTCACTCACTATTATATTCCTAGAGGTGTCCACTCAGCTTTGCAAGCTGTGATGAGGCTGGCCGGGGCCTTGAGGTTAGCACGGAAAGCCTGCAAAGGAGGGAAGCGCCTGGAACCACAGACTCACTCCTCTGACGCGCCTTTCCGTCCTGGCCAGGGCCACCACCTGCACTTGCCTGCTGCCGGCTCAATGCAAGACTTTTGCCTCTGGATGAACAAAAAGGGTTCCGATGGACCCCAAAGGTTAGAAAGTTTTTTGCCAGTGGTCCTCAATCTTGCCTGCACAGAGGCACCAGGGGAGCTTGCAATCCTGCCAAAGCCTGGGCCCCAGACCGTCTGAACCTCTGGAGAAGGCCCAAGACTGCAACCCACTTCAGCGGTAGCATTAAAGATGAAAGGCTAAGGAGTACAAATGACCAAAGCAGGTACCTGAGCTACTCTGGATGTGGGACAGAAGAGAGGGGAGAAGGGAAGATGATGAAATAACAAGAGGAGCAAGAAGGACCTGAAGCCTTTGAATCCATAAAAAGGAAGGAGATAAAACCATAATTGACATCTAACTGCCATGGTACTTACAGTTTGCAAAGCATTTCTATCTACCTACTTAATCCTAACAAGAACCCATCAAGGTGGGGATTACTCCAATTTATAAATGAGGAGACAGAGCCTAGAAGTCAGACTTCACAAGACCACAAATGTAGTAATGGGGCAATGTAGGGAGGTGCTCAAATGTAGGCCCAAGAGAGAACACAGCAAAAAAGGAGTGCCCAGAGGAAGGGTTTAGGGAGAACACAGCAAGAAGAGAAGTGCCCTGGGGTTTCAGTGCAATGAGAAGGAGATAAATGCATCAATTCACAAGACAGAATTCTGAGGAATGCACACACAAACCTAAAGCATATTTACACATCACTTTAATTCTAACTGAGGATGCACATGAGACAGTCATGTCTGACTGAAACTCTTAGATTAGATTACAGCCTTCAATCCCAACAGAAATCCCATTTCGTCCCTCTATCACTCACAGCCAAATGAGGAAGTGTGTACTGTCCACTTTGCCTCTCCTTCACCAGGTGGGTCAGGATGAGCCTTTTGGCCCACACACTGCTGAGAAGGAAGCTCAAAAGATTAACCCCTTCAAAACAAAACGGGAACGCGGCCTGACGACAAACTGAAATTCAATCCATTTATTTACATGTACATTGTACATAAGTTAACAAATTCTCACTTCTGCCACTCAGCTAGAACTTTTCAGGAAAAGCCTCCATCTCTTCCTTGATCCTGTTTTCTACAAGTAATGCGAAGTTACTGTCTGTGTTCTGGAGGTTATAGCTGACAAACACCTGTTTGTTGGTCTTCCTGGCTAAAAAGAGAAAACACATTGATACAGCCACTCCTGAGATACTGCAGACCCCGTGTTCCTCACACCCACAAGCAGCTGGGAAATGCTCAGAAAGAGGATGGGGTTGTAGGGAGAGAATAAAGCTCTGATCTCCGCGCCTCTCTTCAGACAGGCGCTGCAAAGGCAGACGAGTCACTCAGGCCTCTCCCAGTCTCTCCACCAGACCGGGGTTCCGAAGGGCAGGCCCCACCTCAGCAGCCTCCCTGGAACTTATTGAGAGGCAGCTCCTGGGCCCCACCCAGCCCTCCTGACCCAGAAAGCCAGGATGAGGGGCCAGCTGTCTGCGGGAACAGCCCTGCAGGGGCCGGCACTGCTTAAGAACCTCTGCTCTGCACAGAGGCGTTTCTGGTGTTCTGATTTTTTAAAAAATTTCTTTAAAACACAAAAAATAAAGTATTTAAAATAAGGCCGGGCGCGGTGGCTCAAGCCTGTAATCCCAGCACTTTGGGAGGCCGAGGCGGGAGGATCACAAGGTCAGGAGATCGAGACCATCCTGGCCAACACAATGAAACCCCGTCTCTACTAAAAAATACAAAAAAAAAACTAGCCGGGCGAGGTGGCCGCGCCTGTAGTCCCAGCTACTCAGGAGGCTGAGGCAGGAGAATGGCGTGAACCCGGGAGGCGGAGCTTGCAGTGAGCCGAGATCCGGCCACTGCACTCCAGCCTGGGCCACAGAGCGAGACTCCGTCTCAAAAAAACAAAACAAAACAAAACAAAAAGTATTTAAAATAAAATATTAAAGTTCTCCTTCAGCACCACCCCACCCCTAACCAGTTCCACCTCCCTCCCTCCTACATTTCCATGCATTTGCATACATGTGTACACACACAAACATATTCGTGTGTGTGTGTGTGTGCATATACAGATAGGCATATGGACATACATGTAATTTTCTACTGAATGTAAGTTTTAGTCCCTTTCTACAGAACTGATAATAAATGGTTGAGGTGCGCACTGGGTCAACCGCAAAAATCAAGTAGAGTCACATACCCGGCATCTGAAAGTCGATATCCTGAAAACAAGTGGGCAAGAAGGCTACGGCAGTTCCATGCTGCCTGCCCCACTGCGGGGCCTCCTCCTTTAGCCTCACCCACACGCAGGGCCAGTGCAGAACTACTCACCCCTGGAGAGGCACTGACCCGCCCCCACCTCAACATACGGTGACCCTGTACTGAGCCTCATCACCAAAAGGCAGAAAGGTGGTGCGGTGACGCTGAGGGGCACCAGGCCACCCGCACCATTACTAAAGCCCGACTTAGAACACACGTCACAGGATCTCACCTGGGTGGCAGTTCTGTCCTTTCAGTTGCCGCTGTCTGAGCTATGGTCCCACCAAGAACCCTGAGAGGCAGTGTGGCTCGGGGGCACAGGCACAGGCACAGGCCCCACCGAGGCCTGGAAACCTCTCCCAGCTTTGTTTGTAAATTGAGAAAGGGTAGAGCCCAGGACCCCAGAGGCCTGTTTGCAGCTGTATAAGGCTGTGTGATCTTTAGGGCTGGAAGGGTCTTGGGTATTATTTAACTGACTGTCCTTACAAGGCAGCCAACGCACCTACGAGAAAGCAAGAAGACGAGCACAGCCTCCGCCTGAGGACAGCTGCTGAATTGTATGGTACGGTTTACATCTCGGGAAATCTTTTTTCTATTAAAAAAAGGAGGCCGGGCGCGGTGGCTCAAGCCTGTAATCCCAGCACTTTGGGAGGCCGAGACGGGCGGATCACGAGGTCAAGAGATCGAGACCATCCTGGCTAACACAGTGAAACCCCGTCTCTACTAAAAAATACAAAAACTAGCCGGGCGAGGTAGCGGGCACCTGTAGTCCCAGCTACTCGGGAGGCTGAGGCAGGAGAATGGCGTGAACCCGGAAGGCGGAGCTTGCAGTGAGCTGAGATCCGACCACTGCACTCCAGCCCGGGCGACAGAGCGAGACTCCGTCTCAAAAAATAAAAAAAATAAAAAAAAATAAAAATTAAAAAAAAAAATAAAAATTAAAAAATAAAAAAAGGAATGTGTCTGGACAAAGGCAGCTGTTCGGTTATTCCAAGAGCCGGTGTTTAAAGAACAGCTTTTACAGTACTTAGCAGAGAGCGTGCCACCAGCATGCTGGGTGCAGGGTGCCCCCGAGGCAGACAGCTGTGCCCAGTTATCTGTTCAACCCTGTGGGGGGTGAGGAAGCCTCTTACGCTTCCCCTACCACGAGGGACCAAACTCATCCTTTCCTAGCTGCGTTAGGCAGGCTGGGACCACTCGTGTAGAGGCTGATATGAAGGCAGGCAGTGTGGTAAGAAGCTGGGGCTCACCAAGGCTGGCCAGGAGGAGCCCAGAAGTCACATCCTCTCCGAGGGGCAGGAACGTCCCCTTTACCCCAAGGAGGCCCCCTGGGATTCCAACTGCAGCGATAGGACTTCCGGGGAACAAAGCTGTGTCTGGAGGCACTGTCGCCCTCAGACCCAAGCTGTGCCCTCCAGAGCCATAGAAGGTTGGGTCTCCTTGGCCACACCAACTCCTGCTAAGCTTCCAGAGCTACTGAGAACCCCCCAGGCCTTCTCTTTCCCTACTTGCTTTCATCTCTCATATAAGATACTGATTCAGGACACCTCTCCCTTTTCATTGTAGTGCATTAATAGTGCACTTTCAACTTTAGGGCCCAGACCCAGGCTGGAGACAAGTCGCACAGCACAGGACTTTGCTGGAAAACCCCTTCTTGGTCTGAGCTCTGGAGCACCAGTCCCTTCAGTGATGCTGGAAGCCACAGCACACCCTTGACTTGTCAAGATACTGAGAACCCCTCTTTTTTGGCATATAGATACTAGGCCTCCATCTCATAGATATTCTGGAGCCGAATTTACCTTATTGATATAGAAGTTATTCACGGCCTGCAAGACACACTCACATCACCTTCGCTATTGGAGTGTGCCTTGGCAACCCCACCCAGCTTTCTGTCTGTATAAATAGGAATACCTTCCTCAGCCTTCTCCCGCCAGGCGCAGGCACACAGTAACCTGTTCCACGTAAGTGTGCCACCCCTTACACAGTCACAAACACAAAGTGACACAGACACACAAAAGGGGGCTTTTACCTTCGTGTGGCTCAGAAAAAAAAGATGTAAACACAAAGAGGGAAGGATGGCAAGTGGGAAATCGGGGCGAAAGCTAAGCAGGAATTCTATCTTCTTTGCAACTTTTCCGAAAATTGTAAATTAGTTCCTAGTTAAAAATTACCAAAGTAACTTACCAGTCAGGTCTCTACCTCCAAGGGACAGAAAAAGAATCCTGCGAGTTCCTGAAACGCTGACCTGTGCCCTCCCTGACCTCTGTCCTATCCACACACTGCCATGGGCCTGCTGGTGACACTCCACCCTGCCCTGCCTTCCCCCTGGGCCATGTGCCACGCTGTTCGTGTGCATTTGCCTCAGTGTGACTGACCCAGAGGTTCCTGCTTGTCAGGGACCAGGTCCTTCTCTGCCTGAGACACAGAGAGGCTCCGTGACTAACTCCAGAGCTGAAGCAGCTGGGCCTGCTGGAGAACGCCTGACAGGCATCCTGTGCACACCGGCCACAGGCACTGGGGCTGGGGCTGGGGGTCATAGAGCACATGGAATCCTTACCTGGCCCACAGGAAATATGTGTTGGGGTGTGGGAGGCGTGGAGCCTTCAACCTCATGACCTTTGCTTAATCCCCACTCTACGCCACACTCACAGGCCAGGCCAGTCTTCCCTCTGAGCCCTGAAGAGCATCACACTGTGAGTGAAGGACAGTCCTTCCTGCACAGAGGTGACACCTGCTCTACCAGCTGCACTGACTCCTCCAAAGGCCCAGGAGGCTACCTGGAGCCACTGCCCACAGGGGCTGTAGGCACTTCTCACTCTCTTCTCCCAGAAGGAGGTGATGCACTTACAGAAGGGAACTAAATCAGCTCATGGACTCAAGGACACAACCAAGGACAAGGTGGGAGTCCTTTGGGAACAGGCTGGCCCTGGGACGGTGGTGGTGACAGGCAAGCATGGACGTGCCCTTTGAAGAAGACCCAACGTGCAAAGGTCTGTGCTTCCCAGCAGCAATGAGGTGACGGTTCTTAGCATAAAGATTCTTTACTTCCAAAGGGACTTGCTTCATGCTTCCATTAAAGAGTGGGGCTCCCGCCTGGCTGGCCATGCAGCACCAGCTGTGGGTACGTACCTAGGCGCTGGGCAAGGCCAGTAGAGGTCGTGTCGGAAGTGTCTCCGAGGAGGGAGGTAGACACGGGGATGGAGTCCTAAAAGAAAAGCAAAGGGCACACTGCAGTTCTCCACCCACCGCAGGCCAGCCACACTTCTGGCTTCGGGGCTTCTGATCCTTCACGAGGATGGCAGTGGCAGGGTCTGAGAGGACAGACGCAGGTGCCGAGGGAAAGAGGGGGTGGCATTCATCAACAACCAAGTAGGTGGACCCCATGTCACATATGAGGTCGGTAGAGCTGGGAAAGATGAAGTTGGAACCACAGTCCTGTTAATAAGTTCTAGGACCAGTTTCACACGAAGGCTCGTTTTAGTGTCTGAAACTCCAAAGCATGCTGAAAGGCAACATTACAACCAAAAGGGAAGCAAACAAGATCATGAAGGCCACAGCAAGAAGAAAGTGACTCACAGTCTGGGCACCTGTGCCCCAGTGCCTCGGGCCCCACAGCAGCTGGCTCAGAGGCAGGATGCCTAATCTCCCCATCTCAGCCTGTGAGGCGGCGTGCTGCTCCAGCCCCTGCAGGCTCCAGCCCCTGCAGGCTCCTCGGGGCCGGCGAGTGCCCTGTGACTTTGAGAAAGGGCACCAGCCACCAGCATCCAAACAGGGAACATAACAACGTCTGAACACGCTTGGCCAACCTCATTTCGGACAAAAAGCAATAAGGTGAAATAAGCAGTACAAATGATGCTCAGATCAACAAATGGGCCCTTCGGAGATGTGGAGTAACCTGCTCCCAACGACTTGGGGAGTAAAATCTCACCATGAAAAATGTCTAGCCAGTCCCGTAATCCCAGCACTTTGGGAGCCTGTGGGGGGAGGACTGCTTAAGACCAGGAGTTGGAGACTCACCTGGGCAATGAAGTGAGACCCTGTCTCTACATTTTTATTCAAAAGAGAAAAAAAAAAAAAGTAAAATAAAGTAAAAAGGTCTAGCTTAAAAGAAAAAAAAAAAACGTATTGGTAATATGGCCAAATTGCTTTTATCAAAATAGCAGATTTCTAGGAGAAGCAGCCTGGCTACAGAGGTCTGAGAATCTCGGGAAGTGGCAAGATTTACAGAGGTACAGAGACTTTGGGGTTTGGTCCCCCTGACACCCCAACTGTCCTAGCGGGGACAAGTGAACTGAACAAACAGCCACTACGTGCCAGACAGTATGGCAGGGCACAGAGCACAGGCGCTGCTCATCTCCTAAAGGTTCAAAGCCACTTCCACGAAAGACAGTAAAGGGCAGGAGATCAAAAAACATAGGAGAAGAATGAAAGCATTTACTGTATGCTTTTCATTAAAAACGATACAAAAATATGATCTTAATGAGCCTGCTGTTTACAGATTCCTCAAGTTCAACATTTAGCTGCATGGTAACAGTATTTACAGTTAAACCTTCTAGAAAACAGAAAATCTACCTTACCTAGGGTAGCCTTTTTCTACCAAAAGTAAAACGTAAAGCCCCACTGTGTTACTCCTAAGAGTTCATAACTTTCAAAACCACACTAGGACTGTGGTCTCCCAGCAGATGCATGCCCAGAGAGTTTTCCTGCAGCTGAAGCACCACCTTCCACTCCTAGAAGCCAGCTGGGGGGCCCAAGAATCCCCGAGCAGGCAGGGGCCTAGGTCCCAGGCCAGCTTCCCTCAAGCTGGTAGGACTTAGTGTCACTAGCCCTGCAGCCTCTCTGGGCACCAAAAATCCCTGCTCAACCCAAGGTCGGCCAGCTCGGGTTGCATGGTGTCTGTTCTCTACAGTCTTACACGTGGGAGTTTAGGGAAGCGGGAGGGAGGAGACCTCACAGACTGGTGCCATTCTCCACGCGTGGGCTGGCAAAACTCCTGATAGGGCCCGACAATAACTAGTTCAGGCTTTAGGGGTTACCAAGTCTCTATTACAACCGCTCAGCCCTGCCACCAAAGTACAAGAGCTCCACAGACTCTACCTGCGTGGACGGGAGATGGAGGGCCAGCCCACGGGTCACAGGAACCTTGGGCTTCCTGCCTTAAGCAATGGCCTGTACCTCTTTTCCCCGGCTGGCTCAGCCCTCTGCCCCTGTAAGGAACATCCAGGCACACTGTGGCCAGGGAGTGGGACTGGACTTCCGACAGGCCAGGTCACTCAATCGGTCCCCTGTTCCTTCTCCTGCCTGGCCTTGATGGAGGCGCACTTTCCAGATGAGAAAGCACACCCCACTGGGAGCTGTGACCACCATGGGAGGGGGTGACCAAAGCCACCCCCAGGAGGAGCCTACTTCTTCCACACTCACTAGCCCAAACCAGCACTGCACAAAGGGGCACAAGGCAGTGACACCAGAGCTGACCAGTGCTCAAAGCCTTGCCCACTATGACCAAAGCCTTGGGATCAGGAAAGAATGCGAGGTGGCACAGAGCACACAGCCCCACCCATCACCCCTGGTCCCCCAGGCCTCTTCTGCTGCCGCCTGCTCAAAGGCCCACTGCCAGGCCCCTCCAGAAAAGAAAAAATAAAAAAGGAAACACCAAGGAAAAGAAAAGCAAGAAAGGAATCCAGATGCCATCCCCTTCCTGAGGTCTTTCCGGGTGCTGTTGTGCACAACGAAAGGGCTCGCCCAGGACTTCCCGCCCCCAGCACCCTCAGTCATCACTGCCTCACTGGCTTCAGAAGAGTCTCGCTGAGGGGGCCTCACTCATTCATTCCACAGGGACTTAGAGAGTGGTGCATCAGGAGCTAGAGATACACACGCTCACCCTGGGCAAGCACACAAACCTCACCGTGAAACACTCAACGACTGAGAGAGGGAGCTAACGCGACTGGGAGACCAGCATTGCCAAGCTGGAGAACACATAGGAGCCCTAAGAGGCAACAGAGCCTGAAGGTCACTGGAGTCCTTGGGTGCTCTGAGTTCACCTCGTGAAAGGTTTTGAGCAGAGAAATGAAAATATCCAACTTAAGTCTTAAAACTATCATTCTGTTGCGCTGGTTACAAGGCAGTGTTGTGGCTTGAATTGTGTCCCTGCAAAAAATACACTGAAGTCCTAACCTCTGGGTACCTGTGAATGTGACCTTGTTTGGAAACAGGGTCTCTGCAGATGTAATTAAGACGTAATTTAGGCCGGGCACGGCAGATCACGCCTATAATCCCAGCATTTTAGAATAAAGATCAACATAAAGATTCTTTACTTCCAGAGGGACTTGCT